CTTAGAAACATTATTCCCGGTGATTATCATCATGATGATGATAATCATCATCATCATCATTTAATTTTGATTCTGCTTGTTTGCGATTCATGTTTGAGAATTGTGGCTGAAATTCTAAATCAAGTATTTCATGAAATGGGGATTTTCAATAAGAAGCGGTAGAAAAACAGTTATAGTGGACTCGTCCGTTTGGATGAGTTGAAAGCAAGCAAGGCTTCTCGTCTCTCACTACTACAGCTATAGTGGACGCTCCCCTTCATAAATTCAGTTCACTACGCAGCAAAATGCTTTCCATCGAGTCACCTGCCCATCATGGTAAAGCTGCTCAAGGAATAGACTGATTCCTACGGAGTACGGACGAGGCACATGGAAGGAAATAAGATGATAGATATACAGTCTAGATAAATAGGAGTTTGCGCAACAATATCGCAGGTCACCTGTGACCATTATTCTCTATTCCTTTACTTACACTCTATACTTCCAATAATACATTACTATCGTACGTAATTCAGTAAATATTCTTTTATACAACTGTTTCATTAGCTGATGATTTGCACTTTTGCTTCTGATCCTATTTTTGTCACACTTGCGCAACCTTCCGATTATCATCATTCTTCGAAGTTTTCTAAAATTATACGAAATAATTAGGTGAAAAAAATGCGATTCTTGAAAATGGTTTGTTTAAACAGTTGTTTGCTTTATTTTAGTTTGAATAGTATACGATTTATTCTTGGAGGAAATGCAGTAAAATTAAGACTTGGGTTTTATGATAGCGGATCATCTTTTTATTGTCCTTTTGGTTATGAATAGGAGAGGTGTACTCCAATTGAATGTACAGGTAACTTGCTTCTGTAAACTTTTCTTTACTGTTACGGTCAACTAGAACTGATCTTTTCATTTTCTATTCGGTCTGCGCATGAGTTTCTTTATAATCTTTATAATTATAACACTTATTCTATTGTTTGGTAAATATTTCCCTGTCCCTTGACAGTAACCCAAACCCTAGTATACGCTATACAACATAGTATATGCCTAGAACAAAAAGAATACTCTCCAAGTTTTTATACATGGCCGCAACATTTCTAATACTTTCATATTAACCGCATGCAGCAAAACTGCATAAATAATGGCAAAAATTATTGCAGAAATGACGAGAATTTTGCAGGAATAATTTCAGCAATTATGTAACTGTAACAACTGCTACTATTTTAGTTTCTCTGTAACGGATTCCGATAGCAGAAATTTAGACCCACTTTTGACTCTCGCTTTTTAAGCCTCTGAACCTTAAAACAATGGAGAAAATCTCAACTTAGAAGTAACTACAATATAGTATCTTAAAATAATCCCTGTGGGCACGAAAACTTTTTTGTTCTGGAAACGTTTCTAAAACGTTTTTAGAACATTTCATGTCCGCTACATAACGGTTTAAGAACGTGCAATGTTCTAAAAACGTTTTTAGAACATAAAAAGTATTTAAAACGTTAGGTGGAGGACATGAAACATTCTAAAAACGTTTTTGGAATGTTTTTAGAACAAAAACGTTTCCGTGCTCACAGAGGGAAGATGCCTTCTTTTTGCAGTGATGACATTGAGACTTTTTTAATAGCTGTAATTAACTAGTCTGCAATCTTTGGAATCTTTAGTTGTGAAGCTCATTAAAGTTGAAGTTATTCTTTAAATTTCGACTGTTTTTGAATATTTGAAGCAAAATTTGATTGAACATTGCATGAAAGTTTAAAATTTCTTCAACCCTCATGCAATGTTCACCGTTCAGTCAACTTTTACGTCAAACATTAAACATCATCGGGCATTTAAAGAAAAACTTCAAGTTTCATGAGCTTTGCGCTAAACATTCCGAAGATTGCAGTCAAGCTAATTTCAACTTTCAGGAAATTTTCGGTGCTGTGTGTGATAGACGTCAAAGAATAAAATGAGTTTTTTGAAGTACTTTCAAAGAGTTAAAAATTTCGATTAGGGATATGTTTATTTTCACTCCTGATTACAGAGTTTTGCGCAGAAAAATAAATTCTTTTTGAAAAGAGAAATATTCTTTTGCTTCAATATTATACCAAAGGGCAACTATTTCCGTAGAGACAAAGACAACATTAGAAGTAAAATACACACACACTCCTAAAAGTGGGTTAGCGATTATTTTCCCCATCGTACGACTTTGATAGTGATAAAAAATATTTATCAAGGCTAGATATGACAATGTATTACAATAATTATCAAGATTATGTTTACTTGCAATACTACAATTCTTTTTTTAGGATCGATAACTACAGCTGTATGTATAAAGTTCAATATATTTACCGACCATGTTGCTCATACAGTTGATACAACTGTCAATAAATCAGTGCGAAAACACGCAAATAGTGGGAATTTTTAGCTAAAATTTGTAAAAATTTATAGAAATTGGTTAGTGAAGTAACTTTCGCAGTGATCCGATAAGAAGCGTGGAACTGAAAAGGATTGAAATATAATTCAAACTCTGTATGGTGCAGTAGAAATTATCCAATACTTTCGAATGCCATTTCTGTCCAATACTTTTCTATATAGGACCACGTTTCTAAAATTAATGCCATTCAATTCTGTTTGTGTAAAAAACAACAAAATTTTTCTGAATGCTTCCCAATCCCATCCGAAATTATCACTTTTCATGAGTGTTATTTTAAAGTAATTAAACATTCTGTGCAATGTCAACAATATTAGTATTTTATTATTATACTATTTTTGTATGATCATATTCAAAAGGATTGAAATTGTTAACTTTTTTTTTTCTTGGAATTTAGAAGCATTGGACAGAAATGATAGAATATAATTTTTTTAATGCTTTTTAATCTTTGCTTTCTTACTGGGGAAGTACTCTCTCTGCGTTAAGCATTAAATTATTAATTAGCTGATTCTTACTCTTAATAGCCAATGGAAGTTGTATTCAAGTATTCCTAATTTATCCCAATTAGGATAAATGAAACACCTATGGTTTCATCAACTGCTCATTTCTGTAATTAACAAATATTTTAAGTGCTTTTTAATAGTTTGATCAGCATTGAGTTAAAACAGCCTATTTGTGATCATGAATATAATCCCTTGCGGGGTATTTGTAAATACGAATCTTTTGACTTTAGAAAAAAATTTGTTACTAAAGCATCTTTAACACTTGAGCTAAAATTTGTGGTACATTGCAAAAGTTTTTCATGATTAAATATAAATGTTTCGCTACTTTTGAAATTCTTCGCAAATCGCTTATTTTTGTAGGTACAATTTCAAGAAGATGAAACTTTTATAAAGTCGAGACGTTTGTGTCTCGAGACACAACGTCTCGACTTTAAAAGTTTCATCTTCTTGAAAGAAAGGAACAAGTAGTTCAAAATGATGACTATACAAAATCATTGTTTTGGATCAAAATGATTGATGAATGATGAATGAGTTTTGTCTCATATGTGTAGCTGCATTCATTATTAGGATTTCAACTGCTCTTGAAATTAAACCTTGACTATAGGTTTGCGTGTTCAATTAATAAAGGAAGTACACAAGTTTTGACATATTTGTCTTGTTTTCCGAATGATCTTAAAATAGAGTATGTTTTAGCGTCCTTTCATTGATTCCTTGGGGCGACCTACATCTAATGATCTTGTTATATTTAGGAGGCTCGTCCAAATTTATAAATAAATGAAATTTCATTAGTTCGTGCCAGCGTTAGAGAATACTAATGCAACTTTACTTCGCTGAATTTGTCAATATTCCTCTAGTTTTAGGAGCATTTTTTTTTGTTTCATTTTTTGTCTTCAAGATCTAAAAAATGATTCAGACTTTGGCAAAAAAGGGTAAAATTAGCGATTGAAAATTAGAGTATACATAATAATTCAGTAGAGAAAATTGTAATGAACCAAAAATAGGAGAAGTTGAGAATTATTTTTGGGATCATACTTTAGGGATCTTACCCTAAGTATGGTAAAGGTGTTTAGGTTGTAGGACGGTCTGAGGATCAGGTAGGCGCGTAGCAGGTCAAGTCATTTGGAAAATGTCTGCCAGTCAGCGCTTTCCTTTTCTTTGACAAGCTCGTTTCAAGCTGGGCTGCTGGGGCTTAGACGACATGGACTCGTCCAGTTTGGATCCCCTCCGTTCAGCTCTAGGTTGAACGATCCAGTCAGGACTGTAGTTCAGATTATCGGAGCCCCTGTTTTAAAACGCGCTTGGGACAATGAAACATCTTTATTGCGCAGCTGACTTCCAGAATTTATGCGATTATTTAACTTTTATTTTAACAAGAAGCATTTTTTTTCCCGATTGTTATCATGTTATCAGAAAAAAAACTTCTTTGTACACAACTCTTCCTTTGTAAACATTCCAATATTCTTATTCATACTACTCGATATTAGGTTCAGATCCAAAATCTCTAAACTCATTTCTTAATATCCAGGGAACAAAATGAAATAAATTCATAAAATACCTTTCAAAATCTTCCCTAATGCTGAAATATTTCACCATTAGGAAAGATTTTGATATTTTGATAATTGATACAAACAATTTTGTAATAATAAACCTTTTTTTATACGAAATTCCCCCAGATATCTCCAACTCGGATCTCTTAATTCCAGGTGAAAATAATTTTCAATAACAATTTTATTCAATGCGAAAAGTATTCTATCCATTAATTCTCCAACTATTGAATCTGCGAATGTTACTTTTATCATTCTTTTACTAAAATTTGAGGTATTCAGCTAAATCCGCTAAATCCATCCCATTCCGTATCATCAATAAGAGGTTAGAATTTTCCCTCCTACTTTTCGATAAATTGCGAATTGTTTTTTGCAGAAAAAAATCTCAATATAGATTAATTTCCAAAGAAATAAATAAGTTGAAATAATAAGATAAAAATTGTTTCTCCATTTTATAATATAAATGGAGAAAAAAAAATATTCGTTCCTATGAATTTTTGTTGGAGGTTTTTATACGTTACTGAGGCGAGAGCAGAAAGAGGAACAGGAGGGGGACCGGCGAATGGAAGAACAAATGGAATGAACGACACACAGCGGTTGAGTGCAAAGATGTCCGCTATAGTTCACGACCCTGCTTAAAGCTTTTAATAGAAAATCGTCGAGAATTTTTATTACGAACAATGTCGGAATTCTAGACGACAGTTGTGATTGTTGTTGATTATTTATTGTGCCATTATTATAGTTTTCGATCATAATGGATGATTATACCACGCAAATATCATTGAGTGCTTTAAATTCTGATTACAATGGAGACATAACGACAACTCATGATGGACTGGTTACCATCAAACATGAGCCGCAAGATATTGTAGATGAACATTATCCAATTCAGATTAGCAGTGAAACATCAGAATTTATCAATAATGTGAGTTGTTTAATAATAAAAAATTTATTAATATCATAAAATATGTTTTTAAAAGTAATTCTCTCAAGGTCTTTGCCTAACTATTATACAATTTTTAGTCTCAAACTGCAACCTGTTTACTGGTGTTTTGTTTGTAAAATTTTTTGTCGCATGGGGTTTGGTTTTAAAAAAAATTTCTCCTAATATTGGAAATCTTGTTTTCTATTTTTGTTCAAATGGAAATTTTTCTTTTCTTTTTCAGTATATTTATTAGTCAAAATAATGCAAGCTTTATTTATAATTTGATATTCTGGTTTCTTTTAAAATTTGATCTGTTTTTTTGATTACGAGGCACGTTTATATCGTATTTCTAAATGGCACTTTTGAAGTAATTATAAATTTCTGAATTTAATAGCAATTCGTAATTTTTTTGAATCCTAAAAAACTAAATCTTTAGAAGAATTTTGTTAATTAGTATTTTTTCTTCTTGACAATATTTATGGAAATTTAGTATTAATAATTGCAAAAATTACAAAAAAAAAATTTGTTTCCAATATATTTAATTATTTGAAAAAGATAGCTATTTTTTTCTTAATAATACTCTTTTTCTCTTAAACATTAATCAGACTCATGAAATTTGTTTCCTTTTATTTCTTTTTTTATTGAAAATATTTTTCTATTTAAATTTTTATCTAAATTTTTATTAGCATTTTATCAATATTTTACTTATGTTTTACCAATAAGTTTGCCACAAGTTTTACATTGCTTACAAATTTTCATTCCAAACATCTTTTGTATTTTGATGCATGGGTATTGTATTGAATCGATTGCAACACGTGCTCGTATTCCCGCCATATTTTTAAATGCAAACAGGCCGATAAAACAGTTACCTAACATTTAGCTTACCATTAAATATTGTTTAAATTTTTATAAAAAATTTTATTAATTTCTTTTCTATCTGTGTTTGGAAATAAATTTTGATACTTAATTCAATTAGAAATTTTATTATTTTTTTTTTTGAGGATATAAAATATGTAGAGAAAGGTGCTTTTTTGAAGCATTTTGCTTAATATTTTAATTATTCAAATTTATTTTGTTGCTAAAAGTCGAAAAATAGTTTCATCTGTTGGTAAAAATTTTTATAGTCCCTCTGTCGATAAATTGGATGTCCGTATTTTTCGTGTTACCGGTAATAAGCATCTTGATCAAAATTTGCTGCAACATTTGCAACATTACCCAATGAATCTGTAAATTTTCAGCATAAAACTCACAATGCAAGCTTATTGCAAATAACAAAACTTGCTCATAACTCCATAGCACGTAAGACCACAAGCTTGCATGGTATGGACTTTTTTGCTACTTGCAGCGGGGTTTTCAAGTTAAGACTTGATTCGAACTATTTGGAGGTATTAATTATATCCTTAATTTCAGGAACCTTTAATGAACCATCAAGAACCTACCAATTACACGGAAAGATTTAAACTAAAAGAATGCTACATTCGACTTGAGAAGTGCGACAAAATATGGGAGACATTGAAGGTTATTAAAAATCTCCAAACCCCGGTGACCAACAGAAACAAGAATCCTAAAATAGCAGTTAAAAATGTTGTTCAAAATCAATCGCCAAGTCCATCGCCAATGTTGTATCAACCCACATTGAACAATGGGAATTCAGCTCTACCTAATTTTCAATTTGCCATCAAGAGTTGGAAGAGATTGTACACCTGCACTTATTGCGGCAAGCAATATGTCGATAATCGAAGTCTTAAAGCACATCTTTTCAAACTCCACAATGTTAATCCAGAAACGGATTCACCAAGAGAAATTCCCTCACCAATTGAAATCCCACGTCCTCTTGATATTCCTCGACCTAAAGAAATTCCCCAACTTCTTGACCTACCTCGATCGAGTCCCAAGCTCGGCAAAAGAAAAGTTGACCCTGGAAAACCCTTTGAATGCAATACTTGTGGAGCAAAATATGCTGATGCACGTTCCCTAGGCAGTCATTCACTTCGACTTCATGGAATTCTCACTGAATTTCATGAAAGATGGTTGTCGCAACAGGAGAATCCGAACGACTATACAGTGGAGGATTTACTGAAACGCCATTCTTGTAATTCATGTGGCAAAAGATATAGTTGCACCAAGAGTTTACGAATGCATTATTTGAGGGAACATAATTTTGTCTTGCCACCATTGCGAGCCGGTCGACGAACTCTTGGCCAAGGTCCCGTGAGTAATTTGATACACACCGGTGATATGCAGAAACACATGAATATCTGTACCATCTGCGGCAAGAAGTACACGAAAAATTGGTATCTACGAGTTCATTGCCTCGAAGTTCATGGCATTCCCATGGTTTGTAACCGAACGAAGAAGAGTTTCACTCCAGCCATGCGTGTCATCAAGAAAGAAGTCCTCGACGAACCTGTGCCCCACAAACTCGTATCAACGGACATGAATTTCCCATTACCACAAGTGAAGAAAGAACCACAAGAGCCAGGAGCAGTTCCACCAATAAAGAATATCGCCAAACGACATCAGTGTGCAGCTTGCAAGAGAGAATTTCTAACCATTTCCAAACTACGCGTTCATTGTATGGCCCTACACGGAATTGTCATACCAAGGATTAGGAAACCCTACAAAAAGTCGATTTTCACCATGAACAAAAAAGGAGCAAGTTTGAAAATCGATCCTAGAACACAAGCTGCCCTGGGACATTTCCCAGAAGCAGGAATGATGAACGCAATGCAACCGAATTTGAATAGAAGTGTAAATACCAGTATTGAGACGAAAATAAAACCCGAGGCAAGAATGGTCTCAACACCAAAACAAGTGAGTCTTGATCGCTACTTCAAGTCACCGACAAATGGCGAAAACATCTTCCAAAAAACCGCAAATACAAGTCAGCAAAATTTCGCCAAACGGGATAGGATACCTCCTAGGGATTTGCAAGACGAACCAAAAGAAACCGTAAAAAGTGCCACCCAACAAAAAGCGCCAGCCAATCTGATAAAATGCAATCTATGCTCGAGCAATTGCAAAGACATCAGGAAGCATTACATCGCCTATCATAAAATTCGCTATCCTGAGACTAATGTCATGAAGGATTTAGCAGCATCTAGTGACAGTACACTTGAATCAGATAAAGCAGAAAAAGCATCAGAAAAAGCACCAGTAAAAGGACCAGAAAAAGCATTAGTAAAAGCACCAGAAAAAGTACCAGAGCTCAAGAAACAACCGCCTAGAAAAAGAAGACGCAAATTCATCACAATGGGCAGGAAAAAGAAACGAAAGATCGACAACACACCAATTGAACACCAACCACTAGAATCTACAATTCCAGTTATAATTCCCGATACACCAACTACACCAATAAAATTACAAGAGACTCAATTTCTTCCAAAGAAACTATCACCAAAATTACCCTCTCCCACAAAAACCCAATTCAAATGCAACATTTGCGGTGGTTTTTACGCCACTCCAAAAAGTCTGAAAATCCACCGTCAACGACATCGAACGAAGGGCGAGACAAAGGAGAACATTCATCTCATTGCCCACAACTATAAAAATATGTGGAAATCTCAAAGAACCCCAGAATCCTCCAATGAAGATTTGGATTTTAACATTGGGAACGATTCCCGAACATCTTCAAATGAAAGTATTACCCAATCATCATCAACATCGGATTCAATGGACAGATTGATGAAATCGACGAGTAGAAAAATTTACAGTGCAAGTGAAACAACATGTGAATGTGGACGTGGTTTTCGTGATCCACATACAATGTACTTGCACAAGGATAAATGTTCGTCGGTGAATAAAATTGACAGGGATAAAATAACTGTTGCTCGTTCAAGTAGCGATCGTGATTCGGGAATTGGAATCAGTATCACAATAAAGAAGAAGAATGATTCATATGAAATAGTTAGCCGTGATAGTGGAGATGATGATAAATCGAAGGATTCGAGTATTTCAAAGGACTCGGATCAAATTTCACATTCTTCGGATAGCAATTTCTCGAATGGGGTTTTTAATGATCGAAAATTCCTTGACTTGATAAAGGGACAGTGCAGCAAGGATCACAGTGTACTGAAAATTGAGGTAAGTGTATTTTTTTCGATTAATTTCGGACAAATTTGATTGGTATTTTCGTGACTACTAGCAACAATTCTAACTTCTTATTGACTTTTTTTTAAAAATAAAATTAGCAATTTTTAAAAATAATAGAACGTAAAAATTTTTAATTCAAATTTATTTTCATAAAAATAAAATATTAATTGGAATAGATTTATTTTTAACAAAATTTTCACGTAAAAAATTCAATTATTTTTAAAAATTTTAATACATCCTTTGAAAAAATATTCAATTATTTTCAAAACAATTTTAATTGAATTCCTCAGAAAAATTCAAATATTTTAAAATAATTCCATTAAATTCAATTATTTTAAAAAATTCTTCGAAACAATTCAATTATTTTTATAAATAATAAAACTCTTTACAGGAATTCAATTATTTTCAAAACAATTTTAATTGAATTCCTCAGAAAAATTCAAAATTTTTTAAATAATTCCATTAAATTTAAATTATTTAAAAATATTTTTGAAATAATTCAATTATTTTTATAAATAGTAAAACTCTTTACTGGAATTCAATTATTTTCAAAACAATTTTAATTGAATTTCTCAGAAAAATTAAAATATTTTAAAATAATTCCATTAAATTCAATTATTTTAAAAAATTCTTCGAAACAATTCAATTATTTTCAAAACAATTGTAATTGTATTCCTCGGAAGAATTCAATCTTTAAAACACTTTTTAATATATTTCGAATAAATTCAATTATTTTCTAAAATCTTAATAAATCCTTTGAAAAATTCAATTATTTTGCTTCCTCATGAGGAAGCTTTGCATTGGTGACGATTTTCAATTTTTCAAAAGAAGGTTATATGGACTCATTTTCATCTAAAACATATGTATATTCAATTATGAGCAAATGTCCAGATGTATGTGTGTGTATGTATGTGTGTGTGTGTGTGTGTGTGTGTGTCACAAAAATTGTGTACAAATTATCTCAGACAAATTTTGATGGATTGTCCTGAAATTTTGCAGGTTTATTGCAGTCATTAATACCTAAAATCTGACACAAGGATTTTCGAAAATATCTACAAAAATTTTTTTTATACAATTTTTTTAAAATTCAGAAAAAATTTTTTTTTGTATTTTTTGAAATAATTTTTTTATTTGTTAATATTTTCATTAATTTTTCTCAAAATTACATTCCTGACAAGAAAACGAATCGATTGATGTATACAAAGTATATATTTTATCAAAATTTATCAAATTAATCAATATTTTTCTTTTTTAAAAAAAATTCAAATTTTGTATTTTTTCATAATTTATTTAATATTAATATTAATATTTTGAACTGATTATTCTATCATAAAAAAGAAGCAATTGGCAAATGAAAGTGTAAATTTCACCAAATATTTATATAACAACTTATAAATTATAAATGATTTATATAATTTTATTTTTAACAAATCTTCTGGACGAACCCTTTTGTACATAGTTTTTCAAAAGTTTGCAAAACCGCAATTTTTATACATTGAGGAAGCTAAATGGTCATGAAATGAACAACTTGTTTATAAATATAGTAAAATTTTTGCAAGAATTCAATTATTTTTGTAAATTGTAAAATTCAATTATTTTTAAAACAATTTTATTTGAATTCCTCGGAAAAATTCAAAAATTTTTATAAATACGAAAATTCTGTGCTAGAATTAAATTATTTTTAATCCAATTTAAATAAAATTGCACGAAAGAAATTAATTATTTTTAACAATTTCCATAAAATTTAATTTTAACAAGAATTTAAAATTCTCTAAAAAAATGATTCAATTATTTTCAAAATATTTTTAAAAAATTCTATATGAAAATTAAATTATTTTCACTGCAATTTTTAAATATATTCGTCAAATAAATTGAAAAAATTCAATTAGGTATTTTCAAAAAATAATCAAATTCTTCGGATGAATTCAATGATTTAGAATAGGTATACTTAATTTTAATAAAATTCTTTACATAAATTCAAATATTTTCGATACAACTCTTTGCAATAATTCAATTATTTTTATAAATAGTACAATTCATTTTTGCAATAATTAAATTATTTTTATAAATAGTAAAATCTTTTGCCGAAATTGAATTATTTTTAAAAGAATTTTAATAGAATTCCTCGAAAGAATTTAATTATTTTCAAATTTTACAAATTTCTTCTTAGGAATTCAATTATTTTCATGCATAATAAAACTCATTGGAGAATTTCAATTATTTTTAATACAATTTTAATCGGATTCCTTGAAAAATGTAACTATTTCTTAAAAATTTTATTAAAATTCGTCAAAAGAAGTCAATTATTTAAAATTTTGTTAATAAAATTCTTTATGAAAATTCAATTTTAAGAAACATTCAATTATTCAATAAATAATTTACTTTTGTGTTTAAATAATTGAATTCTCGTAGAATTTTCTAATAAAAATTGTTTAAAAAATAAATTTTAGAAATTATAAATAATAAATTATAATTATAATTATAATAAATTATAAATTTTAGATAATAATTGAATATGAAAATAATTTTGAAGAAGTTATAGTAACAATATTTTTATAATATAAAATAATTATTTTATCACTTGATTATCTTTAATTATTTATTATAAAAAATGAAGAAATCGATCACTCCGAGTCATCGATTTGGAGTAATCAATATCTTCGTGTTTTATAACGATATTTTTTAAATTATTTAATTTCAAAATGGTTTGAATTTGAAATTTTTGAAAATCTTAATTCCAATGGAAAAATAATAATAATTAAATATTTATTTGAAAAAAAAGTTATTTATGTTTTTGAATAATTTTACAATTAAAGAAATTCGTAAATAAATGTAACAAAACATTTTTTTCAGTAAAATTTTTTCCTTTATTTTCTGAAAATTCAAAAAATTTCTGTTTCATTTTTAATTAAATTTTCTAATTGACGAATATAATTTACAAACATTTTTTTATTTATTTATAAAAAAACTTTGAATTTTATAAAAACAATTGAAATTAAGAAATAGAATTGATGCAAATTATTTCCTTATGAAAATTGAGAATTTTCTACAAAAATATTAAGAAACAGGAATATCTGATGTTTTTCTCCACAAAAGAAAAAAATGAATTTGTAAATAATATTGTTATTGAGAAATAAAAATTATGCATAAAATGGATATATTTTCTACTTCTTAATTAAAATTTTTTAACAATGAACAATTTTCTAGTATTTTTTAGAAATAAATAGGAGAATAATTTACATAATAATTTATATCAGTCAAACGAAATTTGTTGTAGAAAAAAGCATATAATATGTAACAAGCAAAATTGGTATATTTTTATTTGTTAATCGTAATTTTTTTTTAAATTTTCTAATTTCTAACATTTTATTATAAATCATTAAAAAATACCTACATGCATATTTTCGATTTCTCAAAAAATATTTTTTAAAGAAAAAAAAACAAAAGCATACACAGAAACTAACTTCAAACTGCGGACAGAATGAATGAAAGAATTTACGAAGATTAATATAGTTACTAATAATAATTTTATTTTTAGGATGCTGATGATGATGTCGATGTGGACATCGAGGATGACAGTCAGACAAACATCAGTGATAGCGAAAATGTACGAAGTGTGGCGAAAAAAGAACTCAAGTCCCCTAGAGTTAGTGCTGAAGAAGAAGATGACAACTTTAGTCGAACAGTAGATCCACTAGATGTTGATCTTTACAGATGTGCAATTTGTTTGGAACTTTTCAAAGAAATGGAGAGTCTTACGATACATATGAAACTCCATGAATCGATGCGCGTCATAAGACAGGAGTGTCCTTGTGGAAAGACTTTCAGGGGAGCTCAAGGTTTTCTAACCCACGTTGAGGAGTATCATCCCCTATGGCTGCAATGCGGTTACTGCGATGTCACTTTCCTGAATAGCAAGGAATACTATTCACACTCTTGCGAAGTGAACAAGGAGGGTAAAGAATTCGAGGACTTCCAGGAAATTGTTTGTCACTACTGTTCATCAAAATTAAGAATGACGAATTTCGAATCTCATGTCACTGCTCACCATTTCATAGCCGAAAAACCGTTCTTGTGCTACTTTTGCAAAATGCGTTTCTCCACGAAGCGACAAAGAACAATTCACCTCACTACCGAGCACGCGAAGCCCAATTGCAGAATTTGCGGTCAAACATTACGTTTTGATTTTGTCGCAAAACATGAGGCATATCATCAAGGTTTGGGTTATCCTTGTCACATTTGTAAAAAAGCTTTCGCTTCCTATAGGCTAATGAGTTCACATCAATTCGACGTGCACACCAGAGATGATGTCAAGTGTAACATTTGCAAGAAGTCCTACACTAAAAGGCACATCAAATATCACATGATGTCACACGCCAAGAAGGAGAAATGCAAGCTATGCAAACGGGGTTTTCATAGTGTCCCTATGCTGCTGAATCATATTAAAGCCGTTCACAAGAATACTTATCCCTTCCTCAAGTGTGACATCTGCAGTGAAAAATTCATCGTTGAGTCGCAACTCAAGAACCATTTCACTCAAAATTTGTGCAAGAAGAATAAAAAAATCAAGAAGCTTCAAGTAGAACTAAAAACTGCACCAAAAGGTACACCAGAGGATACGAAGAAAGGAACATCAGAAACAAACAATTCAACGTTGGAAAATCAATCAGAAAGTGCGGCAGAAAATGCAACAGAGGATACGACGAAAGGAACATCAGAAACAAGCATTTCAACAGCTGAAAATAAATCGGAAAGTGCGGCAGAAAATGCAACGGAAGATACGATGAAAGGAACATCAGAAACGAACATTTCAACATCAGAAAATAAATCGGAAAGTGCGGCAGAAAATTCGACAGAAGATACAACAGAAGATACAACAAAAAGAACATCCAAAACAAACATTTCATCATCAGAAAATAAATCGGAAAGTGCGGGAGAAAATACAACAGAAAGGAAAACAGAAAGTGCAGCAGAGAATACAGCAGATAATACAGCAGAAAGTACAGCAGAGATTACAACAGAAAATGCAGCAGAGGATACAACAGAAGAAAAAACAGAAAGTGCAGTAGAAAATACAACAGAAGAAAATACGACAGAGGGAAAAACAGAAAGTGCAGCAGAGAAGACAACAGAGGAAGAAACAGAAAGTGCATCAGAGGATACAACAGAAGAAAAAACAGAAAGTGCAACAGAGGATACAACAGAAGAAAAAACAGAAAGTGCAGCAGAAAGTCCAACAGCAGTTAAAGAGGCGACAGAAGAAGATTCTCTCAATATAACAATAAAAATGGAAACACCAGCTAACGATGAGAATCATTCCGAAATGGACGAATCTGTCGAAATGGACGAACCACTCGCGTTAGATCCATCATCAGACATGGATGGTCTTCTAGAATCTGCCGAGTCGACAATGCACGACATCGCCGAACAAAATGATTCCCTAGAACAAGAAATAATTCCTCCAGTTGATGATGATCTACCAAAGGAAGAAAAAACTCCCGAAGAGGAAACTGAGAAAGCAACCGAAACAATAAGAACATTAAACGAGACTGAAATGGAGACAACAACAACAACGACTGAACCAACATCAGAGAATAAATCTCTGGATGAAAATTCCCGACCCGAAAAATCTCGGGAACAATTGACTGTTGCTAAAACTTTGACTGAACCAACAAAAGATTGTGATTCTGAGAAAGAAGAAAATGAACCAAGTGGAATTGCAGAAACTTTAGAGTCAGTGGCAAATGATTCCAATGAGGCGATAAATATAACCGATTCCTTCACATTAGATGACGCTGAAACGTCGCTAATCGACATAACCACCGTGAATTGCAATTCAACAGCAAAAGAAATTGTCACTTCAATGGAAATTGATTGCCAAGAGAAAAGTATTTCCGAATCGATTGAAAATGAAATGCAAGTTGATACGTAAGTCAAGTGAATCTAGTAAATATTAAGAGTGAATGTTTTGCTAGCTTAACATCTTAGAAATTAAGATCGCTATTCATTTATTTATTTCCAAAAAATGTACAATTTCTTTTCATAATATATTCGTTAAACTGCAAATGGTCTTTCAGTTCCAAAAAAGGTTTATTGCTTCTTTTTTTTAAACTATTGTCTCGCTTTGTCCACTTATTTATTTCTTCCATAACTTTTTTATTTGCCCCCAATGAGATGACTTTTAATTAATAAAATCGAATCAGTGGTTTTGAATAAATTTTATTGACGATAAATTGACTTGATTACGAGCAAGGAATATACAATAAAAAGAGAATTATTTTTTTTTGTAAAGGGAAAAAAAAGTTGTTGTTGCCTAAATATTGTTAAAGATTGTAAGACGATCAAAATATATTGTCTGACAAAAAGTGTTGAATTCACTTAGATTGAAATATATATTCTTTTTGTCAATTTTGTTATTCACAAAATTTTCTTGAGTTATGCTGGTAATGATCGTAAAATTATTAAAAAAAGGAAAAATGATGACATATTTAAAGTTCTACGTGACCATACTGTGTTATGATAGATATATGCGACTCTAATAATATAAAAAAAACTATGTGATTAACATCGGTATTGATCTTTGTTTTCTAACAGTCGAAAGAAATCACCTAATTTATAAGTTGCTAATGATAAAAATCATCCGTTCTTTTTTGTAAATATATATAAATATATCTAACTTTAATAAAAACCAAAGTAAAAAGTGTTGCCGGTAGTAGGGAATAAAAGATGTCAAAATTATTTTTTTTTCACAGTGAATTTTTGTCGATTATAGTTGACGCATTATGTAAAAGGTCTAGAATTCTTGCTAAAACATTTCAGTATTATTACTTTTCGAACAAGCTAAATTATTAATGAAATTTGTTGATCTGTATTTGTTATTTAATGAAAGAGGGAACATTGTCAATGACTACGTAACAAAACTCGAAAATTGAGTAATATGGAAAAGAGAATAAGAAAGTTTGTATGATATATGTGGCATATTTTTGCTATATGACAGTTATTTAATTGTATTTTTTTATTATATAATTACCGAAGATGTCAACAAATTTTTGTTTTACTGCGAAAAATCAGAAATTGTGTTTAATAGAATATGAGAGCAACATGTGTGCCCTATGGACATTGGGACATTCTTAAGATGTTTATGTCCGTTCGAAGGACTTCCAAAAGATATTTTATATAGACATCATTCAGACACAGAGGATGTCGACATCTTTTTGGTGTCTTTCGAACGGACATTAGGCTTTTTAAAGACAACACATGTCCCAGTGCCCACAGGGTAGAAATAAAATGAAAATAGTATGCCACTGGTTGCAAACGATATAAATATTTTTTTATAAACATGTAAATGTAGAAGTACAACTTGTAAATATATGCAGATTTAGTGATGAAACGATTTTATTTTTCTTTCACTCCATGTACTATATCGTTCATCCCAAGTACAATGTACTTATGTTTAAAAACCATTTTGGAAGTTACCTATCTTTCACGTCTGTCTTAGAAATCATTTATGTTAGAGAATCGTTTTGGAAAATTATTGTTTTCTAAAGTTATTTTGCTTATTCTTGAAATCTAATTTTTCTTTTAAATATTTCAAAATTAATTCAATTTTAAAAGAATTGCGTTTACAATTTTCCTAAATAGATAAACTTCAAAAGGTTTTAATTTGAAATTTTAGAAAATTTCAATTTTGAATGAATTAATTAAATAATATAAATTTCACAGGAATTCTATTATTTACAAATTCTTTATAAATTTCTTCGCAATAATTCCATTATTTTCATAAATAATCAAATTTTTTACAGAGATTCAATTATTTTCATAAATATAATAAAAAACTATAGGTTTTCAATTATTTTCATAAATTTAATAAAACTCATCGCAGAATTTCAATTATTTTTAATATAATTATAATGGAATTTCTCGAAAAATGTAATTATTCTTAAAACTTTTTGGTAAAATTTATCAAAGAAATTCAATTATTTTAAAAACTTTTGCTACAATTTATTTATTAAAATTAAAGTATTATTTTCAATACAGTTTTAATTAAATTTCTTCAAAAAATTAAATTATTTTTAAAAATTTTAATGAAATTGTACCTAATAATTCAATTTACTTCAAAATAATTTTAATAAATTTCTTCGCAGAAATACAATTATGTTTAAAAATTTACAAAATTTCGCATTAAAATTTCAATTACCTTTATAAATAATAAAATTTTTCTCCGAAATTCAATTATTTTCAAAAATTTTAATAAAATTCTTGGTAAAATTTCAAATATTTTTAATACAATTTTCATCTAATTTAACAAAAAATGAAATTATTCTTAAAAATTTTATTAAAATTTGTCAAGAGAATTCAATTATTTAAAAATTTGTTGGTAAAATTCTTTATGAAAATTCAATTTTAAGAAACATTCAATATAATAAATGAAATTAAATAAAATAATAAAATATTTATTTTTGTATAATTAAATAATTGAATTCTCGTAGAATTTTCTAATAAATATTGATTTAACCTTCGGAGAACACATGGGGATCTTTTTGACCCCACACTTTTTTTACGAAAAGCTTTTTATCTTTTTTTAATATTTTTAATAAGGATTTTTAAGTACCTATACAGACTTATTTTACAGAGTTTAAACTATATTTAAAAAATTCTTTAGTTTGATTAGATGAGCAGTTTAAAATTGGTTGAGCATTGAAAAATGGTCTAAAAAAGAGGTGTGTTCTCCGAGGGTTAAAAATGTATTTCAGTTAAAATTTTAGATTATAATTTTGAATATTGTAAACATTATAGAGTGGATTTTTAGAAATATTTGAATTTTCAAAAGGTTTGAAATTAAAATTTTTGAAAATTTGAACTTTTCATACTTTTAATTAAGAATTCTGTGGAATTATTTTTTTTTAAATAAATTAGTGGAATTTTTTTTTTTTAATTATTTGAAGTTTTTAATTTCTAACATATTTAATTGAAGAATATCGGAATAATCAAAATTTCATAAAATTAAATTGTAAACAAAAGGATTTGAAAATTCTCAAAGAACTTCTTCAAAAATTATTTTTAAAAAATTGATTGATTTGTTTTAAAAGCATGGAAAAGTTAGGAATTCGAAAAGAGCAAAAGCGTGGTAACCCTGATTTCAGATTAAAAAAAGTAGTGAAAAAGTATGCTATCAAAAAATTAAACTTGATGACCAAAAAAAAATTCGTTTTAGACACTTTACAAGTACCTGACAAAAATTCTATTTCATATTTTTTATTTTCCTCACTTTTTCCTAATTTTCATTAAAAATATTTACTTCTATCCTATATACTGCTAATAAATTAAAGTCCTGCAACGAATTTTATAATTCATGCGAGAGAATTAAAATATTTATAAAAATAATTTAATTCTTGCGAATAATTTTACAAAAGTTTTAAACAATTCATTTCTTTCGACTAATTTTATGCAAATTCTAATTTAAATAATTGAATTCCTGAGAAATTTTTATTATTCGTGGAAAGAATAATTAAATGGCTGTGTGGTAGTTTATAAAATTTTTTTGAAAATAATTGAGGGCCTAGAACGGATAACTGCCTGCTACGCATAGTTGAAAGGGACTATACCGGTCAGACAACAGTGAGCGCCTCTAGGCCTCTCACTGATGTCTGACTGGTAAAGTCCTTTTCAACTATGCGTAGCAGGCAGTTATCCGTTCCAGGCCCTCAATTGAATTCCTAAAAAGTATTTAATTATTTATGAAAATAATGTAATTTTTGGGAACGATTTTATTAGAATTTTTAAAACAATTGAATTTCCAAGGAGAAGTTTATTATAATAAGATAAACGAAGACATTCAGACAAAGATTCTTTAATGTTACGATTAAATTTTCGAAACGTTGGAGTAACATTAAAGAATCTTTGTCTAAATGACTTTGCTTATTTTATTATTATAAAATTAATATATATATTAATTATAAAACATTATCTTACTATATATTATTTTATTACACTGCAAACATTAAGTATCTTAAATTCTTAAAAGTGACTAAAAATTTACTTAAAATATATCTTAAGATAAAATCATATTAAGATGTTTATGCCTGAAGTATCTTAATATAAAATGTTTTAAGTAACTTATTTGTAGTCACTTATTTCAAGATACTTCTTTTTGCAGAATATAAAAAGTAAATCTTAATTTAAGATCGGTCTTGAATTCAGGACGGTCTGCTTCAATGTTAAATGCTCTAAAATCCATTGCGTAAATTCAGCATTGGCTGAGTCTTAAAAAATTTGCATCTTAATTAGATATAATCTTAATTTAAGACTACCTTGCTGTCTTAAAATAAGACTTTCTTTTTACTGTAATAATAAAACAAAAGAGCATTTTTAATCCTCAAAAACAAGAAGTTTCCTACAATATTTCACAAATAAAGAGGTAAAGAAATTTTTTTTCAAAACTTAAAAATAAAAAAAAATTTTTAACTAAAAATTGAAAAAATGGCGTCAAAAAAAAAATTTTTTTTTTTCAAAAAATTCATTCTCATAGAATTTGAAAAAAAATTCGAAATATTCCCGCGCGTTATTTGATTTTAAGAAGAGGTGGAAATGAGAGTTTCACTATCTAAGCACCAGACGTCTCTATAAACAAGATCCTTCTTTCAAAACGGTATAGAGTCTCACGGAGGGCGGTCGTATTACGCTCGAACTCTCTCTCTCCATTAAAAACTACGATATAAAACAAAAATATACGTGTCTTTTATTATTTTACAAGAAAGAAAAAAAAACCCCCCAAAAAAAAGAAAATTTAATTAATTTATTGTGAAAATCAAGTGAAATGCTAGTTAAAATTGTGACTTGACAGTGTATCTCACAAAAAGTGTTTCTATTCGGTGTAAAGAAAATAAAATTAAATCATAAAAAAAAGAAATATTGTAAGGGAACTTTTATTATATTGGTAACTCTTATTATAGTGCGCTAGAAGTAAAAACCCCTGAAATATTCTAGCTGGCGGGGCGCTCTAGGACGCGTTCAATAAATATTGGGCGTCTCGACACGAATAAAAATGAGAGTTACTCCAAAAACATATTATGTTGACACTTTGACAATTTGCCGACCGGCAAACATTTTTGACAATTGACAGTTGCTTATAAATGAGAGAATTAAATTTATTATTTCTTTTTCAAAAATTCGTTTGTTCCAAAATTTAAGAAAAAAAAAATGATTATACTCAATTGTATTAGTTTTAACTTATTAAAATTTATATATATGAGTTTTTCATTATATTTAAGGAAAGAAATATTTATCTCATCATTGTAGTGTCTCTTGTTTTGATTCTTTCACTTTTAATGAAATCTCAAGTCGAGCTCCTGGCACAAAACCGGTATCTGTCAATGAAATCCTTGACCTATCCAAATTTAGCCTTTTCTCGGTATAGCTTCTCGTAAACGATTATGTATATATACACCTTAAAAGAAGAAGTTTTTTTCTTCTTTTTTTCTTTTTAATAAAGAAAAGAAAAAAAAATTTGCCAAAATCAGAAAATTTTATTTACATTGAGATTATTTTAAAAAACAACTTTCAATTTTTACACTTCAAAAAATAGAATTTCGCGGTTAATTGAAAATGACAGTCATTTCTTAATTTTTCTTTGGTTATTTTAAAAAAAAATTTTAATTTCTCTCTATTTTTATTTTAACCATTGTTTCTAAATTTTAAAAGAAATATTTAAATTTTAAAAATTTTAAGAACCCCATTTAAAAAGTTGATTTTTTAGGTACACAATTTAGAAATTTTTAAACGCAGTTTTCTTGAAAGTATCAAATTTTGATACCGAATGGGATCAAAATGATAACAAAAATTAAGATCAAATGATGATATGATGATTTTTTTTGTATCAATTTGTTATAATTTGATACTTTTAAGTGAACAGTTCACTGAATTATGTAAACAATTTAAAAATTTCAATATCAATTTATTAATGAAATTAATTAAAATTAATATTAATTTCAATATTAATTAATATAATTAATATTAATTAAAATTAATTTCAATAATTAATTAATATAATTAATTTTAATTGAATATTAATTAATTAATTTAATTATATAATAATTAATTTACTTAGCAGTTAATTTTTTTTATTTCAATTTTTGAAAATTTGTTGTCAAACATTGAAAAATTTAAATTTGAAGTTAACAAAAATTTAATTATTATGCTTATAGTTTTTATTTTTTGCGCGCGAATACTTGATAAAAATTAGAAGTTAAATTTTTTCTAGGACATTAGGGTTTTAAGTAAAATTCCTTGCTTTTTAAAGTTGTAAATTTTTTTTAAATTTCAACCTCAATTATAGCAGACAAATAAGAATATTTTCTCAACGTTCTAGCAGAAATTTACAGCAAGTACTTTGGCTTATTAAACAAAATTAAAAAATTTAATAAAATTTCTTAAATATTTTAAATTAAAATAATTTAAAGGTGATTTTTTAATTTATTTTGAAGGTAAAAAGTTAATAAAATTTTTTTTAATATTTTAAATTAAAATAATTTAAAGAAGCAGGTAATTTTTAAATATATTTTGAAGGCAAAAAGTTAATAAAATTTTTTCAATATTATAATTTTTAGTAATTATAAAATTTCTAAAATATTTGCTATTTAAAAAATTAATACATTTTTTAATAATATTTTCAATATAAAAAACAAATACCTAAAATATTTTAAATTACTTTTAAATTAAGTTGTACTTGTAATATAAATACCTTACGTGTCCTTTAAATAATAACAAAAGCAATGAATTATTTAAATATTTTCAATTTAAAAAATTAATACATTATACACTATTAATTTGAACGTTTCAAATTGCATCGAATTAAAACCAAAAATGTGGATCAAATCAAAAATTGATTCAAAAATTTTTGCATCAATTTGATACTTTCAAAAAAACTGTATTTTTAAAAATATTTTGAATATACATGAAAAATTATTAACTTAAATATTTTAAATTGTTTAAAATTTATAAAATTTCATAACTAAAAATTATAAAAATAATGTCATAACTATAAAAATTATAAAAATACTTTTATAACTAAAAATTATAAAAATAATTTAATAACTAAAAATTGTAAAAATAATTTCATAATTAATATTTATTAGAATCAGATTATAATGAAATTTTAGAATATCGAAAAAATAGTTTTCGTTTACCGAACAAGCAGGTTAATTATTATCTATTTTTTTTTAATTTATTATTTCTAATTCTTGTGTATATATGTATAACGTTTGTAATCAGCCTGCGCAGTGAGAATGTCGATTCGATGAGGGCGTGTTAGTCGATCTGCAAATAGTCACCGTATTTGACAGTTCTTGATATCCCAGATTAAGGGAAAAAAGGGGAGAAAAATGAAAAGAAAAAGGGATTAAATACCAAGGTTCTCTTCTCCTTTCTTATAAACCTTATACGTTCCGCAGATCTTCCTAATATAATTTTCTTTACAGTCGAGATTATCGTTTTTCCATGTGAATCCCTTTTAAAAATCCCAAAGGTTATCCTTTAATATAAAGTAGGTTCCTTCATTTCTTTTTTTTTAATTTAAATTTTCTTCTTTTTATTTTTATATTTATTTATTTATTTTTATATTTTTTTATTTTTGCATTATTGATTCGCTTGAAGAAAATATTTTTTGGAGTAACTCAAAGATATTTGAAAAGAATGTTTTTAATTAATTAAAAAGTATGAATAAAACTTAGTTTAACGATCACTTGAAGTGAAAATTTGATTAGGAGTGATTGTTAATCTATAAGTTTTTTTTTTTATTTATAATTAAGAGTACCGATAGTGATAAAGTTAAGAAATTATAATTTAATATTTCTTTTTCTTTGAAGATTGCTCAGCCAAAGGAGAAAATTAAATATATAAAGTGAGTGTGTGAGGGAAGGTGAAGAGGGTAAAAATTTTGAGAGAAGATAATAACGAAGAATAATTGAAAAGATTCGGGGGTGGCGAGAAGGGAGTGATGACGGGCGTGGAAGGAAAAGGTGGCGGGGGCGAAGGGGCTACTGATAGTTCTGATAATACAAATGTGATTAACAATGCAAATGTTAATACAAATCAGCAAAATGGAGGGACGGAGAAGGCGCCCGTCGTCGGTGGGACAAATGTTGAAACTTTACCACGACCCGGAAAACAGGTAAAATTTCTTTTTTTTTATCAAAATTATAATTTTTTTCCCCCTACCATTTTCTATTTATTTTTTTTTACCTATATTTATCAATTTTCAAAATTAAAATTTTGAATTATTTTTAAATCTTACTTTTATAAGAGCGGAAATCATTTTTAAATTAACCCGCCATTTTTGTCCAATAGAAAAATGTCCCGGTCTGCGCATGCGCAAAAAGATTTTTCTACCATTTTTAACAAAATGATTTTTAAAAAAATATTTTCAGAATGGCCACATGTCAGTAAAGTCAGGGAAATGTCGGGAAAAAATTTTTTGTCAGGGAAATTTAGAAAATTGAGATTTTTTTTGACTTATTTTCAAAAATTGGGACTTTTTCGACTTTTTTTTCAAAATTGTAACAAAATATCATACAAGGTTGCTAAGCAATCTGGAAACCTGGAAATGTCAGGGAATTTTATAAACCTTGAAAAAACCTGGAAAAGTCAGGAAAATTTTATCTTTTTTCTTAAAAATTCAATTATTCTCAAAAATTTTATAATAAAATTCTTGTCAAAATTTTAATTATTTTTAAAAACTTTCCTCAATTCAATGATTTTTAATATCTACTATACTTTAAAGAAATTCCTAAAAGAATTCGCAATTAGTTAAAAAAAATTTTATTAAAATTCAGCAAAGAAATTCAATTATTTTAAAAACTTTTGCTGCAATTTATTTATTACAATTCACGTTTCACAAGTTTTGAACGTTCAAATGAACGAAACACTTTTTATTAAAAATATTTTCATCAATTACTGATTGTAATGAAATTTAAAAACTTAAATATTGTATATGGAGAAACTTTAGAATTAATTTTATTCATAGTGACACAAAATATTTTAATAAAAATTTAATTTGAAGATGAAAAAAATAAATTTTGTTCATTTGAACGTTCAGAACTTTGGGATCATTATTACAATTCAAGTATTATTTTCAATACATTTTTTATTAAATTTCTTGAAAGAATTAAATTTTTTTTTTAAAATTTAATTAAATTCTTTTTAACCATTCAATTTTTTTTCAAAATAATTTTAATAAAATTCTTCGGGGAAGATTAATTAATTGCAAAAAATTTGTCAAAATTCAATTATTTTCAATGTCTACTATTTCAATAGAATTTCACAAAAGAATTCAATTATTTGAAAAGAAATTTTCATGAAATTCGTCTCAAGAATTCAATTATTTTCAAAAATAATAAAATTCTTCGCAGAAATTTAATTGTGTTGAAAAATTTACAAAAATTCTAGTCAAAATTTTAATTATTTTTATAAATAATAAAATTTTTTTTCGAAATTCAATTATTTTCAAAAATTTTAATAAAATTCTTGGCAAAATTTCAATTATTTTTAATACAATATTTTTATCAAATATATAAAAAAATGAAATTATTTTTAAAAATTTTATTAAAATTTGTCAAAAGAATTCAATTATTTAAAATTTTTTGATAAAATTAAGTATAAGAATTCAGTTTTAAGAAACATTCAATGATGTAATAAAATATTTATTTTTGTAGTTAAATAATTGAATGCTAGTAGAATTTTCTAATAAATATTGATTTAAAAATGAATTTCAATTAAAATTTTATATTATAATTGAATATTAAAAGCATTATAGAGTGGATTTTTAGAAATAATTGAATTTTCAAATGAAAAATCTTTGAAAATTTGAACTTTTCATACTTTTAATTAAGAATTTTACAGAATTAATTTGTTTCAAACAATTTAATGGAATTTTTTTTGAATTATTTCAAGTTTTTAATTTCTAATATATAGGTATTAATTTAATTGAAGAATGTCAGAATCATCGAAATTTCGTAAAATTAAATGGTAAACAAAAGAATTTGAAAATTCTCAAAAAACTTTTTTACAAATTATTTTAAAAAAATTGATTTAAAGGAATAAAATAATAAATTTAAAGAAGAATTTTAGTTGAAAATTTAAATATATAGAAAAAATAATAACATTTATAATTATTTTTAGCATTTTGGTTAAAAAAATCATGTTCTAAATATTTCATTAAAATTCATCAAAAAAATAAATTATATTTGTTTCTAATAATACAAAAATTCTTTTAAAAAATTCCATTGTTTTCGAAAAATTATACATTAAAATGTTTTTAAAAACTACTTAATTCTTAGAATTTTTTTATCGTAATTTTTTCAAATTTAATTATCTTCGAATAAAGCAAATAAAATTTTACTTTTTTAGACTTGTTAAAATTTCGGAGAAATCATGGTCACATTTATAATTAATTATTCTTCAAAAATTTGATTATTTTTATTTTTTTTTTTTGAAAATATAATACCTTAATAAACTTAAGAAAAAATCTGGACAGTTACAATTATTATAAAAAATTGAATTTTCGTATTTAAATAATTTAATTCTCGAAGAAATTTCGAAAAATTATTTAAAATAATTGATTTAAAGATGAAGTTTAGTAGGAAATTCTAGAAAATAATTTAATTCAGGAATTGTAATTTTTTAGAAATTATTAAATTTCATAAAGTTCTCCTCATTTTCCGTAAATTTTCATATATTTTCCAGTGAAAAGAATTTTGTCAGGGAAAATAATTTTAATGTCAGTAAATATTGTCAGGGAATTCTCAAAATATTCAAAATTGCGTTAAAAATAAATATTTTTACATAATTGTCTTTTTTTTCGCCAAAAACTGTTACGAATTGGAAATTCATTAATCATTATTCAACTGTTAAAAAAAAGCTGCGTAAATATTGAATCACTTAAAGTCGATAATTTATTTTTAGAGACATGTTTTTCATTATTAAAGTGGTTATAGGCAAAATTAGTCTCTAAAAATTGACCATACTATAAAAAACTATTTTTATATCAATGTATTTAAAAGTTATATAATAACGATGAATTTATTACCTTGTGTGTTTCTTAAAATTAAATCCATTATTTTCTTATGAATGGAACTATTGAATAAGGATTTATTAGAATGGCACTAAGCTGCTTAAAATATTTGCTAATACGAGTGTGTATAAATGTATGTGTGAAAATCCGGTTATAGAAATGCTTTTCCGTTACTTAGAATTAAATTGGTATAATTTATGCGATATTGAGAATTTGGAAAATCCTTTGATGCATGTGAGAATATATATATTCTATTTTCTTTCTCTCTTTCCCATTATAATCTCTCATCTTTACATTTTTTAATTTACAAAACTTTTTTTTAACTTTACTATTATCAAAAGTAATAGATAGTTAATAATAATATAAATACTACACAAATTAAAATTTTGAATTGTAATTATAATAGCTCGGTATCACTTTGACACAAGTTTTTAGAATTTTTATTTTAGTTAAAATTTAAAATTTTGTTATTTGCGCACTTAACCTGCGCAAGGCGGAGCGTAGAGTCAAAGTGGGGAGATGAGAGTGAGAAGGACAGTCGCCGAGTGTCTCTCTCGCTCTCATATCCCCACTCCAATCGGCGGTAACACTTTCTTCATTTTAATACGTTCTTTAACGTCCTCGAACTGTTTTAACTCCAACAAAGAATGGAGTAGAAAAAACAAGAATATTTTGGATACAAAATATTTTTTTGCTATTTATCAATACAATTTGTTAGTTGCATACTGGCATACATTATCAAAGGTTGATTGAAACAAAGGATTTACAAACACTTACTCCCAATATTCTTTGCTTCAATTGTCTTAAAAAATTCACTGATAATTAACTTGGGCTGTAGTTGGAAAATTATATCATACAAAAGGGGTAATCTGTCGTCGCGTGTATTTCAACAATTATGTTTCTTTGTAATGTGTGAGCAAGATAAGAATTATACGATTGGAACAGTTGTATATTTCTTGAGTAGGATCAGAAGGTTCTGAGCTTCCGGTGATCTTCTTCTATACTAGCGGAAATTCCAAGTCGTTGAACGCGATAATTATTCTTATATACACAGGGATGACAAAATATACAGTTGCTCTATATTTTTTCTTCTAATTTTTTATTCAATAAAAAATCATAGTTTGAAAATTTTTTTAACTTGCAAAATTTTCGAGAAATTTATAGAAAATAAATTACGTCTTTAAAAAATTTATTATTATTATTCTGCGGTACGAAGTAAAGAAGTCTACTTTTATTTTTTTTTAGGTTCATTTTAGCTTGTAATATTACGGGAAAAACAACATTAAAGTGACTGTCAACTAATAGAATTTTCTACTTAACACGATAGTACTACTTAAATGGGGTTAATTATAAAATTTTTTTAAGGAAATTTTATACGTTAATATTTGATTAAAAATTTAATAATTTCATAAACTATTTGACTTATTATTCTTTTTTAATAATATGGAAACATGAAAAATTATTCTAAAAGAAAAAATAATTTTTAAATGGTCTAAACGTATTTTTATTTTTTCAAAAAGTAAAATTAATAAAAATTAAATGGAATTGAAAAATTTATTAAGTATATATCTCGTCCTATTTTTAAAAACAGAAACTTTTTCATCTATAAATTAACTGAAGAAAAATAACGAAAATTCATCATTAATAAACTTTTTTTAATGTTATACTTAAAAAGTATAAAAAATATAAGATTAAATGATAATAAAAGTTACTTAAAAGTTATAATAATTAATAAAAATAAATTATTCGAAAATAAAAATTCTTAACATATTAAATTCTTCTAAATTAACTAAAAAAAATAATAAAAATTTATAATTAATAAACTTTTCTTAATGTTTTAAGGGCATTTGAACCATTATGACGTCACAATTTGTGCAAAGCCTGTGTTCTTAAATTATGACGTCATAATGGTTCAAATACCCTTAATTAAAAATTATAAAAAATATAAGATTAAATGATAATAAAAGTTTCTTCAGTTAATTTAGAAGAACTCAATATTAAGAATATTTATTTTCCAATAATTTATTATTATTTATTATTATAACTTTTAATTTTTAAATAACTTTTAATATCATTTAATCTTATATATTTTTTATACTTTT